AATAGCATTCTGGATAATTGCTTTCCAGTGGGATCATCTGTAGTTGTTATAAGTTTAGTCTATCTATTTAGTTTATCTAGTCTAATACTTTCTTTTCTCACACTTCTTGTTTGTGGAACACTCTTCTGGTTTCTTGCTACCTTGCCACCTACATTCAAAAATTTAAATGCAATGTCAATCATCATCTGTTTTCCTGAATCCTGTTCTTTCTACCCTTTCTCCTCAATAAAGTCTTCATACTCTTTCACTTCTAGTAACCTTTTGCATCTTAGTGGCATTATCACCTTGTTTGGGGTGAAATTTTTATAAAAAATAAAAATTGTTTTTTTAACTATTTCACCCCAAACAAGGTGGGAGTGGCACTAGCATGCAGGGGATTACAGAGAGTGAAAGTGAGAGAAAAGACTGGGTATAGAGGGGGGGATTGAGGAAAGGATAAAAGATGAACAGGGATCAAAGCAACAGAAGATGATGATTGATGTTGCATTTAAATTTTTGAAGATTGTAGTTATCAGGGAAGCAAGTAAGAGGAAGAGAGTTTCATTGTATGGAAGTGTGAGAAAAAAAACTGAGTAGAAATGGCAGTTACATTTAACTATTTCAACAGTAAAAGGGTGGGACCTAAATGCTAATCTAGTAGCACACTTAAATTCATGTAGTTGGGGCACCAAGGAAAAAAGTTCATCAAATCAGTTGGCATGAAAATATTTGTAAAAAAGACAGAGGAAAGCCATGTCACATCTGTGAGAAATTTACTGAAGTCAAGATGCCAAGTCAGGACCGATTACATTGCAGATCCTTCTTTGGATTTTATCAAGAACATCAAGATGAACAGCAGGAGCACCAGACCAGATATGGCCAACAGTATTTAATGCACCAATAAATGGTAGATTTATAGATGTGTAAGATGGACTGATGAGAAAAAACTTCTGGCCCAACACAGTGTACCAACTTTCCTTGCAGTAGATTCAGCTATTGATTCAATATAGTTGTTCCACTTCAAGTCAGTTGAAAATGTGAGGCCAAGAAGGCACAGTGAGACACTATCCTGGAGTGGAGCATCAATCATGCTGATAGTAGGCAGGGAAGATTCTCTCTGGTGGGTAAATGAGAAGTTTAATTTTGGAGGCATTAAAATTTACAACCTATTTCCTGCCCCAGTTAACCACTGATTGGAGGTCTTTTTTGAGAACAGTGGCCAGGTTAACTTTGTCAGCATTGCCGGATTTATTATTGAGACAGGAGTAAATGGCAGTGTTATCTGCATAGATGCCTACTTGGGCACTGGTGACATCAGAAAGATCATTGATGAAGATCAGAAACAGCGTAGGACCCAAGAGAGAGCTTTGGGGAACACCCACATTCATATGAAAGCCCATTCAGAATGACCTTCATTTCACGATTTGATAGGAATGATTGGATTAAATCAAATAATATTCTGTAATGCCATAGTCCTCCTGAAGTTTATGTAGAAGACCAGCATGCCAAATCCTGACAAACACCTTCAAGATATATAGAGCCACAGCTTAAGCTTTGGCATTATTATCAAGAGTTTGATATACATATTCAGTTATGGCTGTAAGCACATCAGCAGCAAATTAGGCAAAACGGAATCCATATTGTTTGTCAAAGAGGTAATATGCTTAACCACTCTGCCATATTGTTTTTTGTGAGAGTTAAGATGCTTAACCATTTTGTCATTGATTAAAGCCTTGAAGACTTTGCTGAAAAGCTGTAGAGAACTGCAGCCAGCTCAGGAGTACATTTCTTTAGGATGACAGCTGGTATCCCGCCACCTCCGCTTGCCTTATGGGAGTCTAGTTTAGAAATGATGTCCGAGACCAGCAATGGGGTTATGCACATATCACTCAGTAGAGCTTCAGTTCTAAGGAGGAAACCAGGTGTGGGTACTCTGGTGTGGGTACTCTGGATGAGTCAAGTGTTTAGTTGGATGAGAATTTCTGAGCAAACTATTCAGCCTTATCTGCTGTAGATGTTAGGACTTCAAATTGATTGGATAGAGAAGTGATTGAGGATTTTGCAGAGCTGCCAATAATCTCTAGAACCAAACTTGTAAGATGTTATACATTGTTTCATTCTATCAGCAAACAGTAACTTTGCTTCATTGAGGACATGCTTGCACTTGTTACAAGCAGAGACAAAGAGATGTCTTTGGCATTCAGACATATCGCTTTGGTACAATCGGAAAAAGTGATTCCTATGGGCTATAATGACTGAGCAAGCAGATGAGAGAATGGTTTAACTTGGTATTTCCTTGCTAGAATGAAAACATTGATGCCAGCTTTCACCCAGGGGGAGACCTCAGACATGCATTTTTGAATGGGATGATTAAAAACTACATTCTAAGTGACATCATGAAGGAAATCATGGAACAAGTCCCAGTCTACTCATTGATAATAGAAAGATATTCTGTTGGTAAGATGTTCATGGCAGGTGGGGAGGGGGAAGGAGATGTTTACAGACTCTACTGCATGATCAAAGTTGCCAAAAGGGCAGATCTGCATAGCATGACAAGAGTCAGAGATAGAGGTAAAAACAAGATCGAGAAGTGTTTCTGTCAGGGTTACTGGGAAAACATATAGAAAAGTTAACCACTTGTGTGGGAGATTGAGTGATTGAAAAATTAAGGTTTTGAGTATTAGTGAGGTCAGTGACAGAGTGTTTAAGTTACCTAGTATGGTGGGAATTAAAGTCACCGAACACAAATATGTTTGCAAATGGATGTAGGGAGATGATGGCCTTGTCTATATTATCAGAAATACTATCTAGCATGCAACAGTCATGAGAGGAAGGGGAACAATAGAGAATGAAGAGATAGCTGACTGAATTAAGTAGAGAGAGACAGAGACATATGTACACATGGTCTGGAGAATCAAGAGAGAGTTTCCTAGCCAGTGGGAGATGTTCGCAAACATAAACTCTCAGGCCATGCATGTGGACTTTAGAGTCCCTTTCTAAGTAGAGGAAGGTAGCCAGGAATTGAGAAATCAGAGGAAGGGATTGAAGATAGTTTCGTAGAGGGCTAGGATGTCCAGAGACTTTTTGAAGAGAAACAATTCCATACTGCAGAAGTTGATACAAATACCACAAATTTTGGAAAAGGAAAGGTTAAGGGGTTTAGGTGATTTTTGTTAAGCTGGTTTAGATTTATATCTTTGGTTGTTTAGAGTCATGATGTGTTATATTGTTAAAGAAAAGGTCCAATGTAGTAGTAGCAGTCAGTCATCAAATGTAACATGTACAGAAGGGAACAAGTGCAGGCTGCAACATCGTGTGGCCTTGGGGTTGCCTACTGGAGGTGCTTGCAAGGACACCCATCCATGTGCAAAATGTCACTGCAAGAATCCCGATATTATGCAACTGTTGATCAGAGCAGCCTCTCAAGAGGCTATGCAAGATTTCAGGCTCCTAACTCCTCATGAGTCATGAACAGCAACCAGAAAACTGCCAACCTGGTATCCTCAGTATGAAGAGACATTGACACCAACTATAGACATCACAAGAAATTCATGACAGCACCACTTATTAAGGCCTGAGAAAAGGAAAGGAGCTGGGAACTCCTTCCTAAACAGGAAACAAGGGATGAGCCTGTACTCCTGTTCAAGAGAAGGAGGTGGAGGAGGAGTATGGACTGGGCAATAAGAGAGCTTAGTTACTCCTATTAAAATATACTGACTTCCATATAAATTATTGCAAAGAAGAACAAGTTTCTTTCAGAAAACTCATCTGGAGAGCTGAGCTGAAACCCACAGATGCCCAAGCACAAATATGCATGCATACCTGTGTGCAGATGTAGATCAGCATAATTATTCATGCATACCTGTGTGCAGATGTAGATCAGCACAAATATACATGCATACCTGTGTGCAGATGGGGTAAAGAAAAAAAAAATGATATAAAATAATTAAGTTTGAATAACCACTCTTACAAAATACATAAGCCTATCCCCAGCCAGTAGTCAGAAAACAAAAAAAATCAAAGTTAAAAGCAATGAACCCAATCAAAATTAACATTGTGTTAAGACAATTAGTACAAGGACATAGCTAACCAGTTTTGCAAAGACTCAGCTAGATGAGTTTTGAATTCAGAGTTTTCTTCTCTGAGACTGCTTGCCAAACAGGACTGGAGAAGCCAGTCTACTTTGCTATTTAACCCATAGCTAAGTGGAAAAGACATGGATTCATTGCTTCCTTTTATATCTTAAGAAAACAGCAGTTTTAATGGATATATTCAAAAATCTATCATTTGCTGTAGACAATGGGTGACATTCTTGCATCAAAACTATTCTCACTTTACTTTGAGGATTGTGAAGCAGGAGTTTCCTTGAGATATTGAACATTGGGAAGAGTGTTCAATCTCAGATGGGTAAACACCAAATCCAAGAATTTTGAGTGCATGATCTGAGATTTTCTGCATGCTGTAGGTCACTCAGCAGAAGTTTTGCAACTCCTAATGGATCACTTCTCTGCCACTTGTGATGCTTTTGATCTGAGGATTAGCCCCTGAACAAGATAAAAGAGATGTTCACACCTCCACCTGGTATGTGCCCTACAAAGAGCCAACGATAATTGGGAAAAATACCAGCTTGAAGGTCATTAACACTTTCCCATATCTTGGAAGTACTGTATCAAAGGACAGTGTCCTAAATGTTGAGAGTTTTCCAAGCATTCAGAAGGCAAGTGTTACATTTCATAAATTGGAAAGTAGATTTTGGTTGATAGATAAATATGAACATGTTGAGATAGATACAAACAGGCTGAAATACATGAATAAATAAATAGATATATATGAACAAGCTGAGATAGACAGATATAAACAGACTATCTATCTCATAGATAGATAAATAGATAGCTATGAACATGTCAAGATATATAGATACAAACATGTTGCAATGTATATGAACAGGCTGAGATAGATCGATAGATATAAATAAGTTGAGATAAATACAGAGATAGATGAATAAAAAGATAAATATGAACAGGCTGAGATAGATAGATAGATAGATAGATAGATACAAACAGATGAATAAAAAGAAACAAACAGGTTGAGATAGATAGATAGATAGATAGATAGATAGATAGATAGATAGATAGATAGATAGATAGATAGATAGACAGACATAGATGAGTATGTTGATATTTTTTGACATGATTTGTTTTCAAAACCAATACTTTCATGTATTTCCAGTAGGAATCTGGTGGAAGGTTAACATTGCTCAGTCAGGTTTCTTCTTAGGATCATTTTTGTTAAGAATTTCAGTATGAGAAATAAAGATACAAATGGTGATCTCCCAAGAGAAGAAGTTATAATTAAAACAAACATTAAGCCATACAGGATGCCTTTACTAAACATTTAGCAAAAAGAGTTTCATTTAGAAAGATAAAGATATTATTATTATTATTTTTATAATTATTATTATTATTATTATTGAATGAGTAAACAACATACCAAGAAAGTGATGCTGGGTTATAAATATACAAAGCTCAATATATCCATCATGACACTCAGTCTGATAAGGGTATACCAGGCACATGCATTACAGCCAAAAGTGTATCATATGGTAACCTGTTTTGAAAAAAGCAGTATATAATTTTGTAGGTGGAGTTCAGTTAGACCTTCTGATTGAGTAATCTGGTCAATTAAGACTGTCTCTTATTGATGGTGTTTCCAACTATCTAGACTTGCAACTCATCTTGGCTGCTTCATCCTTCAAACTTAAAATCATTAATCCTCTCAAATGCTTCACCTACTACTCCCACTCATGAACAGAAATGCACAGTGCATCAGCCTCTGGGAGATATGTCCAGTTGGTTAGGATCAGGCATTGGACAAGCAAATCTGTCATACTAAATGGGATATTTAGTGTAGCCAATCTTAATTCAACAAAACAAAACAGTCACATGTTAATACCTGTAATCAGTTAAGATCAGAAGCCATAACAACCATTATCATTAATATTTTTTTTACTTCTACTACTTTCATATTTGTTTATTTTATCTCATTTTTGTTATTTTTAATGAAAATGTTTCATCAAAGAATTTCAAATAAAATGATTACATCTGCTACTTTTAAATAAACAATATGGCTTGGAGAAAATCAAATTAGAAACACTGTTATTGATATTTGTGATGGGTTTCTATGGCCAAATTTGTAGGCTTGATTCATATCAAATGACTTCCCAAAAATATATGAGATATGAGTTCAAATCTTGTTGGAGATGACTTCTTTGTTTTCGAATCAACAAGAGTTGCTTAACAAAAACAAATAACAAAATTTTTGTTATAACAAGAGCAGACTCTTTATACTATTTACATTGTTTGGACTGTTATCTTCATCTTTATTGTCATATTCACATAGTTTCAGCCATTGTACACTCCAACCTTCTTCAGGTGATATATGTTTGAAATTCAAATTGAACCCTATTTTCGTTCACCAGGGTAGATTGTTCTAGTTCCACATGCTATGCCTTTTCTGGATATCTTAGTTTTAGTTATTTCCCTTTTTTTTTTTTTTTATAAAAGCATTAGTTGAAGTAATCCGGTGACTTAACTGAAAGAGTTGTGAGTTCAATACCTGGCCACAGCATAGGGGAACGAAAACATGGAGAGTTGAATTATTAAAAGGAAATAACTGAAACTGAGATATTCAAAAAAGGCGTAGCATATGGATCTAGAAGAATCTACCCCAGTGGATGAAATAAAAGGTTTGGTTCAAAATTCTAATGTATAGCACCTGAAGAAGACCAAACAGCTGAAACATTGTAAATATGACAATAAAAATGAGTACAACTATCTGAACAATGTAAATAGTGTAAAAAGTTGCAATACCTCATCTCATAAATATAGACAGATATTTAAGAGTAAACTCCTAAGATCCTTTTACAAAACCAACAGATGAAAAATTGACTCTGTGATTGGAAAGAGTACAACAATAATCATTGAAAAAATACTAGCTCTGTCTCATAAAGGTTGTTACATTTGCATACACATTTTCTACAGTAAAGGTAACAATTATTATAAAATAGAAAGCTTTACATATGAAAACCATAAGAGATTTAAATATCAATTTTATATGTCATCATTTTTGACAGCATGGGTAAACTATTTTGTAAATAAATGTTTTATTGTTTTATACAGTAATTTGTACTAAAAAAGAGAAAGAAGAAAAAAGACTGATATTCTTTAAATAAAGAAGAATTATTAACTCGGGTATTAAAAACAGCAACAACAGCAGTTGTTGGATTCCAGAAACAACAACAAAATTTAATTGAAATAATATGAAAGAAAACAGAAAATTCTGCAAGTTCTCTGTATGAATCTGACAAAAAAACAAGACAAAGATTGTATCACATATACTGGAATCATTAAAAAGGTGTGTGAAAGATTCAAATGGAACAAACTGACTCCAGATATGTTTAAAGGGTTAATTTTCATCCAAGGATTAACAACAATAAGATACAGAAATATGTTAGAATTCTAATGAAACTTAAACAGAATGTCAGAGAATCATAAATCTGAGACACAATACAAAAGAAATTGAAGAAAAATAATGTGCATATATAAAGCTAAAGAAATGTGAAAAAAGAAAAATTAATCCATGTTTCAGATGTGGAAAATTACATCTTGGAGATGACTGTCCGTTTAAGAATTCAAAGTGCTACAAGTGTGGAAAAGTAGGACATAAAAATTCACATAAAACAAAGGAAAGTTCTCAGAGAAAAAATTTTATACACAGCATTTTGAAGGAAAAAATAATTACAGAAAACCAAAGAAAATTTGTGTATGTAAAAATTAATAATGTGGATGTAAAAATGTAACCAGACACTGGTAGTGATATCACAATATTTAATGAAGCTACATGGAAAGCAAATGGAAAACCTATATTAAAAAGAACATTGAAAATTGCACATGGTTTCTCAGGTGAGAAATTATTTTTTATTAGTGAAATGACTTGTAACATTTCATTTCATAACAAGTGTGTAAAAGCCAAGGCTTATGTGTTAAAAAAATACTACAAACATATTTGGTACTGACTGGATGGAATTATTTCAGCTGTGGGATTTATCTATAAATATTTATTGCAAAAATGTAAGTGCACAAGCTACCAGTTTAAAAAAAAAACAATGTGAAAATTTAAAGGAAGAATTGAAAAAATGTTCTGTTGGATGAGCTGGGTCAGTATTCGAAAGTCTAAGTGAAATTTCAAGTGACAAAAGGGTCAATGTCAGTGTTTAAACTGAAACATAGTATACCATTTGTAGCATTGGATCAAGTCAATGAAGAATTAAACAGACTTGAAAAAATAGGTGTAATTGACCATTCAAAATGGGCAGCATGAGTAATGTATGAAAAGAAAAAAAAACTGATAAAATTTGTGTTTGTGCTGATTTTTTTCAACAGGGTTAAACAAATGTTTAGAATCCCATAACTACCCATCACCAAGTCCAGTGGAAACATTTATGAATTTAAATGGTGGAAAATTTTTTCAAAGCTGAATCTCTCTGAAGTGTATTTGCAAATACAGATTGAAGAATAACGTTCAGAGTTAATAACTATAAACACAAGGGATTGTATAAGTTCAACCGACTTCCTTTTAGGATAAAAGTGGCTCCAGCTATATTTTAACAAGCTATGGATACTTTGCTTGCAGATTGTGATTTTTGCAGTTGCTTATTTGGATGATATATTAATTAAAAGTTTATCTAAGAAAGAACATATCGAGTATGTGAAATGAGTTTTTGAAAAAATATGACAATACAGGTTCAAACTCAGTGAGGAAAAGTACAAATTGTTTTTGCCTAAAATCAAGTACCTAGGGCAAATCCCTGACAAAAATGGTTGCTGACCAAATCCGGCAAGTGCAATTAAGAATATGCCTCCTCCAACAAACGTTACTAGGCTACCAGCATTTCTAGGGCTAGTAAACTATTATCAAATCTATATACCTAATATGCAGAATTTGAGAGCTCCACTGAAGAATTTGCTTAAAAAGGGTATAAAGTGGAACTGGCATAATAAGTATCAGAAGGTGTTTGAAGAAATCAAGAAAATACTAATGTCAGACTTATCATTAGTGCACTACGATCCAAAAGCAAAAAACATATTGGCTTCAGATGCTAATGACTATAGTATAGGAGCAGTAATTCTACATAAATATGATGATGGTAACATGAAAGACATTGCATATGCTTTGTGTTTGCTACTACTGACAGAAAAAAATACAGCTAGATTGAAAAAAAGGCATAATATTTGCAGTGAAAAATTTTCACAAATTTATATATGAAAGGAGTTTTTGTTTGAGGACACTATTATTGCAGCATTAAAAAGTGAAATAGAAATTAAAAACATATAGTACATGAACTACCAGTTACCCTGGAAGAAATAAAAGTAAAAGCAGAACAAGACATGTTAATTTTGAAAATAAAAAATTGACTATAGATAGATAGATAGATAGATAGATAGATAGATCATTTTTAGAATCCAATCCAGACTTGAATGCTTATTTACTATATGATGGCGTACTAATATTTGCACAAAGAGCAGTAATACCTAGTGTATTACAAAAGTAGATATTAAATGAATTTCATAGTGGACATCTGGGAATTTCAAGAATTAAATCTATTATGAGAAGCTATGTATATTGAACCAAAATGGATCAAGACATTGAAAAATTAGTAAAAGCCTGCAGAGGTTGTGCTCTGGCAGCAAAATCACTTACCACAAAATTACAGCCTTGGCCAAAAACAGATATTCTATGGTCAAGACTGCATATAGATTTTGCAGGTCCAATAAATGGATCATGATATCTTGTGGTAGTGGATAACTTTACTAAGTGGCCTGAAATTTGAAAGTGCAAAAAAAACTTCTGCTGTTAAAGTGAATTTTTAACATGAACTGTTTGCAAGATATGGTATTCTGGATGCCATAGTCTTGGATAACAGTATATAATTCACTGCTTATGAATTTAAAGAATTTTGTAAAAGTTCTTGATTGAATATAATACTACCCCACTGCATCACCCAAGGTCAAACGGTTTGTGGTAATTTTAAGAGATCTTTGAAAAAAGCAAGTAATGAAAAAGTGAGCAAAGAAGCATTACAAAAATTCTTGAGAGTATACCAAATAATACCAAATCCCAATACATCAACTG